GTAATAATAATAATAATAATAATAATAATAATAATAATAATAATAATAATGCTATTATTAATAATAATAATAATAGTAATGACAATAATAACAACAATATGTGTATGTGTGTGTATGTCGTGTGTGCGCGCGCGCACGCGCGCCTGCACCTGTCATGCGCGCACGCGTATGTGTAATATACATAACGATATATATGCATACACACACACATATATATCGTTAGAATACCGTAGCATACACACTCGCAACTTGCTTCGTAATTCGCGGTAATAGTACTTTGTCTAAGTTGATAAAAGTCTTCTCTGGTCCGAAAGAAGTTACAGATACTTAGGCACTTGTTATCTCATCTAGTAATCCATCGTACGAAGAGCAATAATGAGTTCAATTATATCCTAAACAACGGTAATCGAAGGAATAAGTGTTTACGATAAGACGAGAGCAATAAGGATTAATCGTTCGCGTTTCGTTTCGCGCTTCGTTTCTCATCTTTTCCGCGTTCGTCGTCGCATACGAACAAGGCTTGAAACGTGACGTGCGATTGCGCCGGCCGCTCGCACGAATCGAAAGGATCGCGCGCGATCGATATCTCCGCTATATTCCTAATGTTCAATTCCGTCGGAATCGTGGCTTCGCGATAGAAACGTTCCTTGCCCTCTAACGGCTCCGTTTCGTTTTCAACCTTTCGAACGTTTCCCGCCGCTTTCTCGGCGCTCCAGCACCGATACACGCGCCATCTGTCGTTGCTCTCGTTGCTTTATTGCTTGCGTCGGCCGATCCTTTTTTCGACCGCGTCGGAAGCCTTCTCGTCACGCTTTTTTTTTTCTCGTTTTCTATTTTTCTATTTTTCCCTTTTCTCTTTTCTTTCTCTTTCACAACCACCCGTGGCATCTCTCTCTATCTCTCTCTCTTGACTAGTGTGTTACGCTTCACGTCGGAAATCGTGCAACGGAAGAAACGTCGAATGCCCGTTCGCATCGAGAACCACGAAGCGAATCGGAGAGATTCGCGGCGTCGCGTGGACGACGAACGGAGTCGACCGATAAGGTCGGTCACTGTTTCTTTTCGCTCCACCTTATAGCCGTAACCCTGCTCGTGGCGATCGGATTCGACCTTCGTCGTCGTTTCATCGACGAAACGATACGTGATACCTGGGACGAAACTTGTTTTCGCTTGACTAGGTGAACGAGCTAGGAACACGATCTACAGGGCGGTCGTCGCGTCGCTAAGACGGCGGTGGTTGTTGCTGTTGCGTGGATGGGTCCGAGGTCGCGGCCGCTTGTCCGCCACCGTGATAGTACGATCGATATGGCCGCTGACCGGATGGCTGCTGCTCCTGCAGCGGTTGATAGCCGATGCCTGTCGGCTGTTGGCCTGGCTGATAGGCCGGTATCCACTGTTGGTCCGCCACCTGTTGCAGCTGATAGGACAGCGGTTGACCGCGACGTTCTTGCAGGAGAAGCTGATGGGCCGCGCGATCCATCTCTTCGCGTGTCATATCCAACGCTTCCTGCATTTCTCGCGACGTGTATCTCACGAACTCTGGATCGCAGTACTTGCCTAACCCTTGTTCCACGAGAACCTACGGAGAGGGAGCGATAAATCGTAGGTACACGCACGCAGATACGCGTACGTCGAACGGAAGGCGTGGAAAGAGTAAAGAGACGAATAGAGATAATAAGGCTTACCCGGCCAACCAGGCTCTCCGCGCTCCCGATGACCTCGAAGTTGGGCTTCCGATCGGCAGGACTGCCCGGTAAGCTGTGGGACAGGCGCTCTGCGCCGATGCTTCCGTTACTCTCTCCGGCCCAGGAAACTGACGAACGAGGAGAGTCGTCAAGGAATTAAGCTCGTCGCTGTACTGTCTGCCTCTACGATCTCAACAGCGATTCGTGCCATACCGAGCAGTTGCATGGTTAGTTGCGTCAAGCGAGTCACACCGCAAAGAGTTATGTTCAAACTATTTGGCAGAACGCATGCTTCGAGCGACAGTTTCGTCATGCGATACACACGCTTTACCCCGACCACGTCTCTCTTCGTATTTAAGTGTCGACGATTGGTGTATCGCTGGTGCATCGCTGGTGTATCGCTGGTGTGTCATTGGTGTGCGATGATCGGGTGGCAAGGATAGTGCGATCTGTGGGGTGCGAATTCGAGACGCGCGTGCGTGCGAGAAAGAAAATGATGAATTATACATGGTCGCGTTTATTGTTTCTTTTTTTATTCGAATGGTGAATGGCGAATGGCGAATGGCGAATGGCAAATGGCAAACCGCATTCGCGTGGAGCGGGGACAAAGCTCGAGCGTAGTTCGAGCTTGGTCTCGATTCGGCTGGAAGGCGATGGAGAGGCGACAGCGAATGAGTGTGGAAGGCGGGGAAATAGTCGGTGGGGGAGCGGTGGCGATAGGCATGGATGGTGTTTATTACTCGAGGATTAGTCACCTCTGCCGTGGTACGAGGCCCGATGCGACAGACAGGAGGCGTAGACGCGGTCGTGCCGCGAGTCGACGTCGGCGAGGAAGCCAGCGACAGCGATCGCTTGGGTCTGGGCGAGCTTGAGGCCGTTGGCGACGCTGCGCGCGAATCCGGTACTCGCGGACGTGGTCGAGCTGCTCGACTGGCCGCCGCCACCGCCGCTGGTCTCGCGTTTTCGGAAGCTCGACGGTGCCGATTTGCCGACCAACGGATCGCGTCGACCCCGAACACGGCACCGAGACGCTACCGTCAGCTCCTGCCTCAGAGACCCTCCGCGACGTCCTCCGATCTTTTCCGAGTTGCTCCAACCGCTAGACCCTCCGGAACCGCCGGATCCTCCGGATACTCCCGACACTCCTGATACTTCTGAACCTCCTGAACCACCTGACACTTCCGATACTCCTGACACTCCTGACACTCCTGATACTCCTGACACTCCTGATACTCCTGATACTCCTGATACTCCTGAACCTCCTGACCCGCCGGATTCGCTATACTCGCTCGTTGCCGACGAATCCCCGTCCTCGCGATCTATGGCTGTCGTATATTCGGACGACTCCGTATTTTTCCTTTATTTTTCTTTTTTTTTTTTTTTGCTTTTCATTATTATTATTCCCACCAACTCTCATCCCATCGAACTCGAGATTCTGTTACGTTCGGATCACCGAATCTAGTTTGCATCGTTTGACAACGCGATCGAATCGATCGATGGGAAGCGAGGCGACTTTTTCTTCCCGTCAGACGGAAAAGAAAGAGAGTAACAGAGACAGACGTAGAGATAGATAGATGGATAGATAGATATAGAAAGAGAGATAGAGACAGATAGAGAGAAAGGAAGAGAAAGAGAGAGAGAGAGAGAGAGAGAGAGAGTGTAGATCGTACCGTGATTACTCCAGACGGCACAATCGACGCAGCAGCCCCTAGTGGCGTAACAGCGTGTCCCATTGGAGGATGAACCGAGGCTCGGGCTGGTCGTTGCGGTGGACGTGTTCGTGCACGTGGCGATCGACGTCGTTGCGCTGGCGGACTTGCCGGACGAGACTTGCACAGGGTGCAGGGTGCCGGTGCTCGGATCAATGGACGGGGGTGGGTTCCTTCGGGGTGGTGGAGTCGGTGGCGTCAGCTGCCGCTCGATTCCGTCCTGAAGACTGCTTCGAGCAGCCGCGACGAGGTCGACGCGCGTCGGACGCACCGCGCGACACGGGCAACACCAAAGAACGGGCAAAAACCACTCTCTTAGTTAGTTACTGGCTTTCGATATGCCGGCGAACCCTCGTCGCCGCGCCCTCGATAACCCTTTATACAGGCACTCGACGATATCGCGGAGTCGGCTAAATATCGCGCACCGTAGCGATCGAGTACAAAAAGTGGCATGCAATCGGACACGTTCTCGTTGCTTCTTGCAACCCTTGACAATCGCGCGCGCACGTCCCGCTCCTCGTGTTCTCCATCTTCGTTGCGAAACTCGGCGAGATCGTCAAAGTCCGTTGGTTAGTGGTACGCATGCAAGCGCGCAAGCGAGAAATGCTATTCGATCAAGTAAAAGCAAACTATCGACTCCCATAGCCCTAACGTCTCTTACCATATTCGCTATTCGGATGAAGATAATTACCGCTACCTGGACCGCTGAAACGTATAATTCACCGATCACTAGAACGATCATGTCGTTTCTTTTTTCCCAGCTTCTCTACTTTCGACGCGATCTCTTATGCGGTCTGTAAACGAAAATCTACCCGCGGATCGTTTAACCGATCGCGTTTCGAGCGTCGCGACGCGAACTGGCGCCAGCCAGGAAATACTCTTAGCGATTCTTATCTACTTACTCGAGTACTTTGTAAGGGGTATGATGATAGGACTGTTGCTGGACGGGATTTCCGAACCCGGCCAATGGTCTCAGAGGTATACTCTCCTCGATACCCGTGAGCTTTGGATCGATTCCCATTTGGTTCATCGCACTGTCGCTCAAACCGCTAAACACGTTTTTACGATTAGCAATGATCTATAGTACCGTTTGATCGCTTTCGTTTATCAGGCATCGCCTATCGATCGCGCAAACTAACCCTGCTACGTTTGGCACAACTTGATGAGACCTTGCGGTGATTTGATTCGGCGCGTCGTGTCTGCCTCCTATCTGAAGCGTCGAGTACGGTAGAAAGTCAATGGAATTCGTCGGGGAAGCCTGAGAGAATCGAAACGAATTAGACTTTCGCGTATTGTATCTTTCTTTCCGTACTTCCTCTCGGATACCTCGCGAAAAGCTTACCGACCTTAGTCTTGGAGTTTACTTTGAACGACCTGGCTCGGTTGAAGCTGTGATGTCCTTTCCTCATACTCGACCAAACGCTACCGAACAACGAGTGATTCCTCTGTGGAACAACGAAACACGATTAACGACTCGTGCTCGAATACGAGAAAGACGTTTACTTTACGCGTATATCGATACCCTGTGCATAGGTTCCGGATTGTCGTCGAGGAGTTCTTCCAAGTTTCCGGAAATGGCTCTCTTCAGTTCAGGCCCAGCTTCGTGCAGAGTTCTTAGACCGGCCTTTAACGAAACGATCATAAACCCGCGTGTCCCTCGTGCATAACGATACAGAAATCGCAGCGAATATTACCTGAAGCGTGACGGTGTTGTGGCACTCCTTGTCGCCGTCCTTCATTTCTTGCTCCTTCCTCTTTTTGAATCTTCTGAAGTAGTCCTGAATCAGGAAGGTGGCGTAGAATTTACCAACGGTTACCTCGTCGTCGCCTACAAGTTCGAGAAATCAGATCACCGTAACGATTCGCGTAATTCGAGAAGCGAGGAGCAACAGGAAAATACCTCCAGGAGGCGGCACTACTTGGTCCAGAAGCTTCGGATTCGTTCTCTTCCAAATCTTCTTTATCACCGCCCTGAGCTCTGCGTTAGCATCGTCGATGTTCCCCTCGGTTTTGATCCGCAACGACGTCCTCACCACGGCGAACAGCGTCGCGTTGAACAGAACTGTACCGTCGCTGTTCAGCGGCATGTTCATCGAGACTAGCCTCTGCAAATGTTCGCGATTCGAGAAAAATGCGGCATCGACGCGACGAAGAGGTACGAGACACGAACCTTGCACGCGACGCGATGAGGACAGAGTTTACCGAATCCCAAGGGCGGAGATATCTTCCTGAGGAGCGTCACCACGTCCAGATGTTTGATACGGCCCTTGGCATCGGGATCGTACTCGGACCATAGGCGAATAAACTCGTCCAAATGATGAGGACCCAGGATAGACCAATCCCTCGTGAGGTAATCGAAGTTGTCCATGATTACGGCGACGAAGAGATTGATGATCTATAAACGAGCAACAAAGTTGGGGGGACTTTCGCGGTGCTAACCGAGATAGACGATTGAACTTACGAGAAAGGAGCATAAAACGTAGAAAGATATAAAGTAGGGAAATGCAATGTCGGATCCACAGCCATTTAGATTATTCATTTCGTCGCTGTTCAGATCGCATTTTACTATACCAGGTTGCGCCGAACAGGCCATCATAATTTCCTGCCAGGCTTCGCCTGCGTAATCGTGGATTTAACGTGAATTCGAAATCGTGAAAGGGTTCTTTCGGACCGTATGGAAATCTGCAAAAGCACGTACCTGTAGCGGATCGAAAAAGGACCAATACCGCTTGCGGGAACGACTGGAAATTGTTGTTACGGTCTATCGATGTGTCGTCGTCGATGGCAATTTTTCCAAACACCTGAAGAATCGTACCCTCTCTGTTTGACAACCCTTGGCCGGCCGGTAGAAAAATTTCAAGATGGCTTACCTGCATGCCTATCACGGCGTAAATGAAGAACAGCATTATAATTAACAAAGCTACGTAAGGCAGAGCCTGGAAAGATTTGATAAATGTCCAGAGAAGCGTCCTGATGCCTTCGCCTCTGCTCAGCAGTTTCACCAATCGCATCACTCGAAACAACCGAAAGAAGTTGATGGAGATAATGGTGGAGCCAGGCTGAAAGAACAAAATGGCCACGTTAACGATCTGCCCTGTTGGAAACTCGGACGGTTTTACTGCGGAACGACGTACATTGACCTCGGAGTAAACGATGTCGATGAAACTTCCAAGGACGATAATGAAGTCGAAAACGTTCCAAGCGTCGCCGAAGTAATTCTGTAATTGCGAATCGGTTAGCACGGACGGATCGCGATCTCGTCTATTGGAGAGAGAACATCGATTATAATCGCGTGATTCGTCTCGTTTGACTTTCTACCTTAAATCGAAAGGCCGCCAACTTAAAGATAAACTCCAGGGCAAAGACCGCGGTGAAGATCATGTTAAGTACGTCTAACGCTTCCGTGTAGATTTGCGGTTGCCGATAAAACTTCATCGCTAAGGTCACGGTGTTAATCATGATCAGAGTGAAAATGGTGTACTCGAACGGTTGAGATGTGACGAACCACCAGACTTTGTACTGTATTCGATGCTTCGGTATGTATCGTCGCACTGGTTTCGCCTTTAACGCGAACTCGATGCAATTCCGCTATGCAATCACGTGAAAAGTTTGTACATGTACACGAGAGATGTATACGAGTTTACTAACTCTTGATCAGCCGCTTCGATTCGGCAGACTTACCTGATTCTTATCGAGCTCGCAGTTTTTGTACTCTTGCTCACCCTCGTTCTGGAAAGTGACAATAACGAAACCAACGAAGATGTTCACCATGAAGAATGCTATGATAATGATGTAAATGATGTAGTACGCGGCCACTATCGGCCGAAAATTATGAATTGGTCCATGATCCTCCTTGTTAGAGTCGATCGACACGTCTAGCAATCTGTTGGGAGAGAAAATGCTAAGCGGTGTGCACCGTAGCTACTTTCCACTTGTTCTGTTTTTCTTTTTTCCGATATATCGCTAGCGAGCGTACAGCTTCGGACGACACGAAGGCTCAGCTTTCGTACCGCGTTGAAAACACTTTTCATTCTCGTCTCTTTCGAAACGAGCGAGGAAAATACGCGGGAGTGAACGTGTGCGTGCGTGCGTGTGTGTGTGTTTGTGTGTGTATATGTGTGTGCACGCAGGTGTCTACTTACGACGGCCAGCCTTCGAACGTGGACACGGTGAACAGCGTCAGCATCGCTTTCGCGACGTCGTCGAAATGGAAACGATTCTGGCCCCAATTTCTCTCCTTCATCACCGGTTTATTGATATTACCGTTCTCGAATTCGAGGTATGTACCCCTGAAATTAATAACGCAACGTGCCATGTTATTCCTCGTGCCTGTTTCCCGGTCATTTGCGGGAATCGTGGATGTCGCCGGCAATTTGCACGACATCCAACGATGTCCCGCGATATCGGCACTATTTTGCTCGCGAGATAACTTACTGGCATTCGTCCTTCGTCATTTTCGATGCATCGGTACAATAGAAAAATTTCCCCTGTACAACATAAAAATCTGATTAATGCGAAGCAGATCGCTGCCGATTAGAGGCTTCGCGCAACGTTCCGAAAGCTGCCCAAACCCATCGACACTCTCGATATCCGTTGGAATTTCGGCGAAACTGGAAAGCGAGGAAGCTTCGAGGGATTCGATACGATCCTTCGGTGATCACAAGAGTGTCGATGAAGTGGAAGCAGCGTATCGTTAATTGGCCATTCTCCAAAGCGAAGTGAGTAGCAGCGAGTGATCGAGCAAAGTAAAGGAAAGATCAAAGAAAAATTCAGAAGTGATAGAGAGAGAGAGAAAAAAAAATGTCATTCCGTTTAGCGTGCACGATAATATCTATACATGTAAATATATACAAAGTAGGCCGTGGTGCAGGCTGTCTCGTTTTGGCCTACGTCGATCGAGCGACGTGGCACGTGCACGAGTAGAATCGAGAGTCCAGAAAATCGTTCTCGCAGGTTCTTCTAGCGTACAATCGACACTCGAACATTACGACATTTCGACGGGTGTATCACGTCGAGCAATTGGGCAGAAATCTCGTCGAAGCATCGCGACGTGTCCAATTCATGGCCGACCTTTTCGTGTATCTTCGCAGGAATTTGACTCGCGAGGTTAAAAGTTAGGCCGGATTCGGTAGAGAGCCTACGCGCCAGAGGTCGAGCTGAGAATCCCACTCGTTGCTTCCATTTTTGGAAAAGAATCCTACTCGGAGTTATGCGAATTATCGATGATAATCTCGCCTAGAACGGCTCCTCGAAGCGGAGTCGCGTCGTTTCTCTAGCATACTGAGCATACACCGTACGAGAAGCTTCGCATCGGGACTCGTTCGACGGACTTTCCCGGACAAGCTGTGAGCTTTCTTCGTCTCGTTCGTTTCGTTATCTCCCCCCCGAGGGATCGGACTTGCTACGAAACGTGCGTACGAACGATCGACGTTGGGAACAACCGTGAACGCGAATCGACGCTCGATGCGATAGAAAACGAGTTTCATGCATGTTTCGTTCCTTTCGGTCCATTGTCTGAAACGGCAACCACGAGATTCGACGTTGGTCGACGCTACGCTTGCAAGCCACTCGAATCGTCTACGAACGTTTGCGCATCTAGACGGTGCTCTACTTTCGAGGCTCGTTTCGCGGAACATCCTCTACTTCTCAAGGTACAGCGTGAAGTGTCTTTTGGATGTAACTAAAGGCAGAAAATGCTGTTTGCAAGTGCAACTCGATGAGAAGAGAGAGAGAGAGAGAAAAAAAGAAAAAAAAAAAAAGGTAGAGTCGAAATTTAGTTGGGACGGAGAAGAGCGAGATGGTGATGGCGCGTGGAGGCTAGAGGTTACTCGTGGTTCCGGTATACGCGTTCGACGAGCATGCACTACGATTAAAGCTTCATTCTCACATTTACAGCGAAACTTGCATGCCTATTCGTTAAACGTGTCTTTATCCGGAGCTCGATAGCCATGATCGGTTAAGCATTCGTTGAGGTGACGCGACGAGTAAGTATCGCTATCGGTGGACGTTCTAGAGTCCCGGCTGGTATTCTTGGTGAAGCGTTAAATCGTTAACAGCGTGTTACCGTGCTCGAGGGTGTTATCGCGAACGCAGAGACTCTCTGCAAAGGGTAATATCGGCAGCAACGAAGTATCTTCGACTAGGTTGATCGATCAACGTCCCAGTTTCATGCTCGACGTTCCGGTCCTGGCTAACGTCCCGATAACGTATTATCGGTTCGCAAAGGGGACACTGACTAATGCGCGAGAAGGCTCGCGTACCAGGCGAATCGCGCTTCTATAAAATCGACGAGGAAACGTTACTCGTTAGTTAGGTGTCGAACGATCGAGACAGATGCGACGATAGACTGGAATTGGCCGTGGCAACGTGGCGGCATTCGATTCGTTTCATTCCTTCGGTTCATAGACGAGCATTTTCTCGTTGCTGATATTCACCTTTGTAGAGTCGAAGAGGGATGGAGAAAAAAGTAGTCGAATCGGGCGAATTTCGACGTGGACCGATCGACGGCCGGCGAATGCGCAGCGCGTCGCGAAATTCGGGGTTGCCCGGACACTATGCGGATCGTTGTCGAGAAGAGGAAGAGAATCGAGTCGGGGTCGAAGAGATAAAAGTCCGCCGGGTTTGAAACGGCGATTAAACGGATGGCGATCGGAGGGCGGCAATTTCCTCGATCAGTAAACGCGACGGTACACCCCGTATTTCGCGAAGGAAATTGACATTTCCGGGACGCGCGGATCGACAGCATCCAAAGCTTCCGGTTGTAACGCGAGGCCGTCCGTCGATGAAGAGCAACGGGCAAAAAATCAAACCGAGAGAAGAAAATAAGAGTAACGAAAAGAAAACAGAGCTGAAGTAACGATGGTAGTAACAAATAATAGTAGTAGTAGTAGTAGCAGTAGTAATAGTAATAGTAGAAGAAGTAGAAGTAGGAGAAGAAGAAGAAGAAGAAGAAGAAGAAGATGAAGAAGAAGAAGATGAAGAAGATGAAGAAGAAGAGCAAGAGAGAGAAATGAGAGAGAGAGAGAGAGAGAGAGATAGAGAGAGAGAGAGAGAGAGAGAGAGAGATGTAGTAGATAGAAGAAGAAAGAAGTTCTCGTTGGCTTAGTTTAATCTTTCTAAGTGGTGGTGGTTGTTGGCTTTACCTTAAACAGCTGTACCCCGATAACAGCGAACATGAACTGTAGGAGATAGGTGACCAACATAATGTTGCCGATCGTTTTAATGGCGACAATCACACACTTCACTACGTACTTTTTACGTAGTTGGTTGAGGGCAGGTGAGCAGGGCGAACGAGCACAGCGGGGAACACGGGATCGTGAGACAGACAGACAGAAAGAGAAAACAAAGAAAATACAAAGTAGCATTAATCAAGGGTCGGCTAGTTTCGTTCGCGAAGCTAGGTATCTTAACGGGGGCTTTGGGGCTGGGGCATCGGGAATTGCTATTTGCAAACGTTATCATATCTCGACTGTTTCACGCTTCGTTCCGCGCTTTGTTCCTTGTTCGTTGCCCGCGTCCGTCTTCCCTCGATCGTTGATCGTCTCTGAAACGCTTCCCTCTATCCTCCTACCCTCTTCCTTTCGCGACTTTTCCAATCGCGAAAAGCTACAACCGTGGCATCGACTTGCATCGAGAAGCACACCGTTTCAACCCGATCTTTCCTCTCGCGAATTATTTCCTTTCGTTCTCGCGGCAATCTCGACTACTCTCGTCCGTTTCGAACGGTAGTCCTCCTCTCAGCTTCCTCCCCTTTTCTTCCCTTTCTTCCCTTTCTTTCCTTTCTTTCCCGCTTCTTTGCTTTTCCCTTTTAATTTTCCTTCCTTTTTTCCTACTCTTTCTTTCTCTACTTCTCCTTTCTTAATCGTGAACTAAGCCCTCGCCATCCATCCAACCCACCAGTGCTCGATGTTTTTCCTCGGCAATGCACCTATGGGGGCCTCGTACGGGATAATGTATTTTCTCGTTCTATCTAATCTTCGAAACGCTCGATCGTAATTCGTCCCGCTTTCGATCGTCGTTCGATAGATAAGTCTCGTCGTCGTTTCTCGTCGTCCGATCGTTACGCGGCTTTCGATTTGCGCGGCCATCTTCCTTTTTCTTTTCGATCGCGCGTTGCCACGTAAGCTGGCGTCGAGCTGAGTCCGGTACAACGTTTTCCCGGGGACAAGCTTATCGACGTAACGCGTTCGATGCACGCGATTAGATAGGAACGGAACGAGGAATCGAGTTTCCCGACGACAGGGTATATGACGCGGGCGCAACAATTGGTTATTCTCTTTAAGCGTTTTGGTCAGAGGTTTCTTTAGTTAATGGAAGCACTGTGTCTCTCAAATACACGAGCAAACCAAACTACGGGGACGTTCTTCCAGTTCTGCCGACAACTCTGATCGATGGTTAAACAGGATCGTTAGTATCGCAAACGTGTTACGTGTGACTAACTTCTTCTGGGATATTTCATTCGCGATCGTGTATCGCTATCTCGCGTGACAATATATATACGAGGAAAACATATTCCCGACTCGTGTATGTATCTTCACCCTCTCGCACTCTTTCACGAGCTTACAACGCACCAAGGACATGTCTCGCGTCTGCCTTTCGTTCGAACGTATCGCGTGACGAACGAATCGCTGATTATCGTCGAAGCTCGAGGATCGAACGAAAGGAGGGTTTATCCCTGGAGCTCGAACGATCGCTCGGAAGTGGAAGGAAACAGCGTACGAGATTATCCCGCGACAATGATCGAAGGATTCTCGTGGAACGTCTAACGACGAGGTATCGATACGCTCGAAACTACGCGTTCGACTAGGTGTTCTGCTTCTTTCTAACCATCTAACCACGACACACGGCGAAGCAACGAAGGTGGACTACGCTACGAGTCGTCTAACTTGCTCTCTAAGCTTTCACCGGTGTCTAACTTTACTTGCGACAACCGCGACGAAGATGGCCGACTGTTAGATCCACGCGGCCACTCTGGATCGGCCGCAGGTTCGCGGACAGGCTAATTCGGATCTAAGCGAAATGGTACACACATTGCCTAGTGGTCTCTAAGGAGCTACGTAGCGAACGGAGTTACGATTACTAAACGTGATTCGGAGCGAAACGAGAAACCCTGCGAGTAGACCGGACAGAGAAGTGCCGTGATGCTTCGTTTCGAGGCAATTGCGGAAGTCGACGAGACAAAAAAGGATGCGTGCGACTTTTACTACGTTCTCTAGATTCTATTTCTGCGGAGTCTCCAAGAGTCACGGAACTGTCCTTTCCTTCTTTCCCTTTCCTTTCTCTCGTGTTAATATAGCGACACACCACTGCAACGCTCAGCCGGCACAAGCATGCAATTTTCAAACAATCCTCTACTATCGGTTTTAACCACGCAGCCTGTATGAGTTTCTCCGTGTCGTGTCGTGTCGTGTCGTGTCGTGTCGTGTCGTGTCGTGTCGTACCGTGTCGTATCGTGTCGTGTTTTATGCGGCCGTGTCGGTGTATTCGGACCACGCGTACGGTTTCGAGCAGCCACTGTCGTCGGTAACATCCTCCATCAGCGGCCAGACACCCCAGTCTACCTGACATTTCGTTTAATCGCGTCGGTTATCCCGTTCCCGCGTTTCGCTGGGCACGTTGTTACCGTTCGACAGCGGTCGTTCTTTTCGCGTACGCGTGCGTTTAGATATTTAGTCTTCCAGCTATAGTCTCGAGCGACGAAGTAGAGGCAAAAAAAACGAGGGGAGAAAAAGAATGAGAGAGAAAGAGAGAGAGTGAGGGAGAGAAAGAGTGAGAAAGACAGAGAGAGAGAGAGAGAGAGAGAGAGAGAGAGATAGAGAAGAGAGAGAGAGAGAAAGAGAGAGAGAGAGTGAGAGTGAGAGAGAAAAAGGAGAAAAGAGACAAAGAAAGTCGTGGGTGTCTAGACAAAGGAGAAATAAACGAAGATACGAAAGCCAAAGTCGAAAGACCAAAGACCATGATACGATAGATCTTGCGAAAAGCCGCATCTGTAAAACAGTTTCCTTCCAAAAGTGGATGACATACACACACATACACATATATAGATATTATGTAAATGTATGTGTACGACAGCGATCTTCCTTTAAGTCTCTATCTACTTTCAGCTACCATCTCATCTCCCCCCGGTCACTCGTCTAGTATGTAAATTCTTCGGTACGCTACTTCGTATTGGCATAGCAATGATATATATTTATATATATATATATATATATATATATTTACGTAGATATATATATACGTATATAGATATCCGTTGCTCGAAACGGAACAAAAAGACAGAAAGTGAAAGAAACTACCCGCCTTTATCGGCGAGCTTCGATTACTGATCGTCTCCCCTACACTACCACGATAGTCTCGTAGCGTGGGATGCCTTTTGTACACGTATACACGGTGTCATTCGAAAGGGAAAATGTCCCATTAACGTGATCATCGACCGTGGATGACTCGGAAAGATCGAAAGAAGGGAACACTCGGTCGGTCCGTGATGGAGGCGCACGCGAAAAATTAAGTCTCGCCGCGCGCCTCCCCGTTCTATCACGGCTGCGACATCGTGGTCGCAACGATGAACGATACGTAGCAACGTTGGTGAGAGTTGACGTCGGTCGATTGGGAATCAACGCCATGAGAAACGATTAGTTTTTGTTTTTGCAAAAGTGGCCGCGATACGAGCCCCCATGCAATACCCTTTTACGCGGAAAGCGAAACGCGCGAAAGCTGAATTATCGAATGACGAACGAAAGGGTTGACAGCTATCGTCTCGCGCACCGAAACTTCTGTTAAAAGGGGCCAGCGTAAAAGTATCTCGGATGGGGGCGATCGTTCGGTCGTTGGATCACACGTAGATCGGTGGGAAGAAATAAAAACGTTTGAGGGAAAGAAGAAACCAAGGTAATCCCAGTGACAGGTTTCGGGGAGAGAGTGTCGAGACAAGAAACGCAATGAATAAGTTATACGCAAACAGCTCGTTTCACAGGGAAGGTACCCAGAGGTGCATCTGTCGGAAAAAACAACGTCTGCTTCGTGCCCGCACCTCTCGACGATTATTCCTTCGTTCGAATCGAACGCGTCTTTGAATAGGTTTGGCAATCGCACCGATGATCCTTTCGAAACTCGATGGCCGTAAAACGAGGCGAAGTGAGATAGATCGCGTTGAAAGGATGCCGAATAATCGTCGAAGAGGTTTGTCGGGGTGTCGAGCAAAGGCGTACCGAGGTGGTAGACGAATTGGTAGTAGTGAATTTGGTGATGGTGAATTATTTCGGCGTTGCAAAAATCGTATGTGAAGTAATGAATGAACGAGAATGACGATAATATATGCATATATATCGGATCGTAAGAGAGGGCTGAGGGGTCAGGGGGTATCAAGGTTTGGTTGTATATTATGCCACTCTAGTGTACTACGAGAGGTTCGAAGGAATGTCCCAGGACCGTTTAGTGTGCGGGGCCTGGCAATCCTACCTTGAACAGTTGTACGCCAATGACGGCGAACACGAACTGCAGGAGGCTGGTGACGAGGACTATGTTTCCGATAGTCTTTACCGCTACGATGACGCACTGTACTACGTGCTGGGTTCAACATTAATCATAATGTACATTCGCTCTTTTACAAATGGAGTTACGTGTGCCGACTATAATTTATTACGTCGGATACCACTCGTTTTTTTCCTATCGTTCGCTTTTTACTTCTTGCCGCTTTTCTTTAGTTTTCAGATCGTTTACGTTTCTCGATACTACGACGTTCCGCGTCGCGTGGGAAACTTTCGACGCACGGGCTAAAAGAGACGATCGCTATAGAACAGCCGATCGCTCGAGTCCACTCGAATCGTTTGCAAAAGTTTCCCATGTGACGCACAAGTGGAAATACTTGGACTTTACCGAAGTATCGACTTTATCGATTATCGCGTCGATTCTCAAAAGCAATCGCGAACTACTGCTGAAATACAACGGATCAGTTTTACTAGCTTTCAAAAACGCGTGCTTCAATTTTACGCGACTCGATCTAGAACCGAAACTAAAAGTTACTTTGGTATCAAATGTTACTTGTACGTCTACTTCGGGGCATGTGCTATATCATCCGGGACCGACTTGGCAAGTTCGCTAACTGTTCGTTCGGATAACAAGCGAAGAAAGATACCTTTAATCCCTTGGCACGATTGATGGCGCGCAGAGGCCTCAACACGCGTAATACACGCAGCACTTTTACCACGGAAAACGCGCCGGAACTGAAACCAGAACGTCGTTACGATGATTTTCTTTCGTTTCTTTCCTTCGTCGCAACTTCTACGTGAAGTAGAAGAGCTCGAGAATTCTTACCTGAAAGACATAGAGATGAGAGAAGAACACACGACCAGGAGATCGAGCAAATTGAACGCCGATCGACAAAATGCACCGTCGTGTATGATAAAACCGTACGAGATCATCTTCAAGCAGATCTCGATCGTAAACACCGTGGTGAAAAAATAGTCAAAATTCTGTAAAACCTGTAACGACGGAAAGAAGGGTTACTCGAGTACGAATGAACAGCGATCGCTCGACTTACCAGATTTCTAGGAGAGGTCGCGCGTAAAGGATCTTCGGCCGCTAGCATAGCGGAAGATATCATGATGCATACAAGGATCACGTTGCCGAAGTAGCTGTGATTGCACAGCCAGTGACAAAACACTCGGAACCTGAAACGCGAAGAACGTCAACGTTAGACGTTAGATTCTATCGGATGATTTTGCTGAATGAAAGAAACACGGTAAACGTCGTTGTCACCTGTTCGTCTGCGAGAAGATGAAGAAAGCCGAACCGACTGGAATCGGTTGCTTCTTCGTAGCCATGTTGAATTCGGACATCCTTCGTGGCCTAGCCGACACTCCTTGGTCCGTGCCATCATCTGCGCGAATATCATTGTCGATAATGCTGCGAGGAATAACGCCGAAGAGTGTGACAAATGAAAAGAATAAGTACAGATACCGTGCATCTCGTTGTGTTCGCCCTCGTCTTCCTCTTCGACCTCCTCGTCGGACTCTATGTTTAATCGTACCTTGGCGTGAGTGTTCATGTCGTCGCTCTTCTCCGATCTGCAACCCACGCATTCGTGGATAAATTTCGAAAATGGCGTTGCTCGAAGTATTCGTTTGAGAAGCAAGGAAGGACTTACGTTTCGGTATCCACGGCTGCCTCGTAATCCTCCATCGTTTCGTTGGGATCATGCTCGAGATCGGTACCGCCGCCTTCGTCTTCTCCACCGGTCCCATCGCCACCGTCGTCACCCTGTTCCCCGCTAACTTCGTCCCTGGCTGGAGAGGCACTGTGAGATTTATTTTTCTCCGCCTGAAACACCGAGAAATCTTTCGATCCTTTCCACCACTTTGCCTCTTTGATATTTCAACGATATTTTCGAACGGTTCTCGGTTAACGCGATAAGGAGATCTAGCCTGGTGTTTATTCAACGTAAGACAGCTTATTAATAACTTGAAAGACGTTGACTCGGTGTCCTATTTAAAGTAGGAGAAACTCGTCCCGTGGATCTCGTCAAATTTCATGGAGCATCGAGGCAGAACCAACCCTCGCCGGGTTAATACACGAGAGCTATCGATTTTTCATTAGCTTATCGAAAAATCACGAACGATTAAACTTTTAACGCGAAGCTGTACAGCAGAGAGATGATACTTCGTCGTGGGGTCGGCGTCGTTTGTTCGACAACGACGACAACGATGTTCTCCTTTCTCCGCCCTTACCGCGGCATTCACGTTCGAGTTGCCCTGCATATTTATATAGAGCCCCGATACGAAATATTGCAAAAACGTGGCAGAGGAACAGGGCAAGGATAAAGAGAAAACTAACAATGATGCGGCGAATGTTTCCAGATAACGGTTTCAATTTCGGAGTATCGGTATTCGATTGCGACGACCTCGATTTTGCGTGCGTGCTTTATACGTGTAATAAGTCCGCAGCAGGAGCGACGAAGCGTGTACCGATTGCACAAGATGACATAGTTTTTCGCGATTTAACCTCTGCTAACCGATCAGCAGCGTGTCGAAAATCACTCGCGGAATAGCCTTTTCGCCTTGCCCGTAAAAGCTGACTCGAAGCAGATCGAGTTTCTCCCGGACGCGTGTACAATGTTTGACCAAGTACGTACGAATCTCTGGGATAAAAATACGAACGGGAAAGTATGCGATTCGTTTCATTAACCGTGTGCCAGAGGCGATGAAAAGAAGCGATTAGCGAGCGTCTTGGAACGCGGCATTAAAACGCGCGACTGCGTCACGAGTCTCGTTTATTAAAATCCCGAATGCGGAGCAATGGCGTACAATTAAGTCGCTTTCCAGTTGCCGCGAAATACGTATTTTCTCAAATTCTCGGC